TAATGAAGTGTTTCTCTTTATCAGAATCCTCACTTCTTTGCCAACTAAATTCCAAGTACAGCATTGCACTGTCAGTTAAAAAGTGATATTTTAGAAATCTTGTTCTTTCTCCTCACTCGAGGTATTGTTATACCTAATTTTTCTGTATTTGTCTGTAATTAAGAATTCTCTTAAGTTTCTGTAACATTTCAGTACTTTTTTCTTAATGCAGCAGTTTTTTAGCCACGAAAAGCATTTAGGATGATTGGACTTAATGCATCGGATAATTGAGCAACCAGTCCAATTGTCCAAATGCCGTTTAGACAATCGAGCAGAGGGCTTGCTCAATCGTCCAAAATGCTATATTAAAAAATGCTTTTTTACTGGGTAGCCTCCTGTCCGGAGTTACCCTATTTAACGGTACCCACTTTTACACTTTTTTGCGAGAATAGGTAATTCGAAAGGAATTGAAAAATGGATAAAAAATGTGATTAATATTTGTCTTGTTGATCATAAAAAAATTTTACTGTCAGTGCTTCATATTAAGTTAGGGATCATGAAACAATTTGTAAAAGGATTCTCGATTTTACTAACATACTATTGTTATATTAGATCCACAATTTAAAAAAAATGACATCAGATTCATAATAAGTGACCTCAAAAACTCTCGAGTGTACAGTTTCAAGCTAATCCGTTAAATTTATAAAAAATATGTCCGCCATATTAGATCCGCCATTTTGAATTTCGAAAATCTGACATCGGATTCGTAATTAGCAACCTCAAAAACCCCCAAGTAAAGAGTTTTAATCGAATCCGTTAAATTTTTAAAAATTGTGTCCGCCATATTAGATCCGCCATTTTGAATTTCGAAAATCTGACGTCGGTTTTGTAATAAAGGAACTCAAAAACTTTAAGATTGTAATGCTAAAGTTGCAGTTCTTTCCAAATTATCTCTCTGTTCCACAATGGTCTAAATCTGCAATTTGGAGTTTTTGAATTTCGAATTTTTATTACCTATTATTAGTTTAATACAAATAACAAAATAATGATGACTTTAATAGCTTGTCTTCTCATATGTTAGGGAAAAAAAATTTTTTTTTCTCGACACTGCTTAAATCTTATGAGTATTAACATATGAAAGATCAAAAAACGATATTTAGACAATAACATTTTTTTTATAATATTAAACAACTTTTAATTTAAGTTAAATTAACAAAAAATGAATAGCTCGCATGTTTATGGTAGAAACAAAACTTTTTCTTTTCTAATGGCTTCAGATTAAGTCATTGTTAACAACTGTGCATAAATATTGTTTAAAAAATATTATTTATTAAAGTTATAAACAAATTAAGTTCACAAATAAACTGTATATTTGTTTATAGTCAATATAACATCGATTTGTTATAGATATTTTTTATAACTTGTAATTATATAGATTGTTATAGTATAGTTGTTATTATATAGTTTGTTTATAGATATTTTTCATAAGTAATCATTTGTTTATGTTATAAAAAATTAAGTTAACAAATGAATTGTTTATTTGTTTACTTAAATTGTTTATAATATTATAATATTATAACTTATGAAAAACATCTATAACATCTATAAAAAATATTATTGGTGGGACGCATCAATCTTCCACAAATCCCATTTGACATAATAACAAGTAACCGAAATTCACTTGGCCGAATCACTAGTTGCCATAAACTATATTTATTAGAATTATTATTTAATCTAATTTTCATTTCCCCGATGATTCATTAGCTCTAATTTTTATTTAACAGATATATTATTTAATAGAGATTTCGTTAGCCCGAAGAAACATTTGACATTATTTTCATTTGTCCAATTAATTGTTTGGACTAATTTTCGATTTTCCGATATTTCATCTGTTATAATTCCTATTTTTCTAAATCATTAATTAAAATTTGTTTTTTTATTTAAAAAGTTTTTTAACCTAAATATCAATTGCTCTAAATGTAATGAGTTATAAATATCATTTTATCGAATAATTATTTACCAGTATTTACTTTTTACAGAATTGTCATATAAACTATATCCTATTTGCTCTAATCTTTATTTAACAGAAATTCATTTACCTCGAAGTAGCATTCAGCCGAATGTTTATTTGTCAGAAAGATTATTAAACATAATTTTCGTTTTGCAGAAACTTTATTTCACCTAATTTTAAATTGTTATATTAATTGTTTAACATAAATCTATTTCTACCTTATCTTTATGTGACATATTGTTCTTTTATTCGAATTGTCAAATCATCGAATGCTTAGAACATCGAATTGTCAGTTCGTCGAATGCTCAAAACGTCGAAATGTCTATTTGTCGAATCGTCAAAACATCGAATTGCCAAAAATTCGAAAAATTTGTTTGATTTAAGTAGGGGAGACTGGGGTAAACCCGCTCACTTTTTTTCAGATCGGCTAAAATCTAGGAAATTATTCTCTAAATCCAAGTTAATTTATATCATTTGAAAGCTTATGATTTCTACTAAAAAAATAAAAAAGAGTTTTTGATTTATCTTTTTTAGTTTTACTTAGAGAAACTTTTTAATAAACATATACCAAATTTCGAAATCACAATTTTCCAGGGTAAACCCGCTCACTTTATCTTTTCAAGACGGAACAGTTTTATTTTTTAAATATTAAAGTTCGTCTTATTCCCGTCTTAAGTATGATTTATTATTGATAATTTATGAGTTATATAAACAATTCTATAAACAACAAATTGGTTTAATAAATAATGAACATAAATTTTATTAATTACAGCTATGGATTTAAATAGTGTTATATTTTATTAAAAGAAAGTGAAATGTAGTTACAATTTTGGTTTTAATAAGTCATAAATTGTGTTATTGTTGAAATATAATACGTGAAATTATTTTATTCTAAATTTTAAATTTAAAACTAAGTGAGCGGCGTTACCCCGACTTCACGTGAGCGACTTTACCCCGAGTGTATTCCTCACATTTCAGAATAAATTTAATCAAATCTTTTTAAAATAGACATTTCGACGTTTTGAGCATTCGACGAACTGACAATTCGATGTTCTAAGCATTCGATGATTTGACAATTCGAATAAAAGAACAATATGTCACATAAAGATAAGGTAGAAATATATTTATGTTAAACAATTAATATAACAATTTAAAATTAGAGCAATTGATATTTAGGTTAAAAACTTTGTGAATAAAAAAACAAATTTTAATTAATGATTTAGAAAAATAGGAATTATAACAGATGAAATATCGGAAAATCGAAAATTAGTCCAAACAATTAATTAGACAAATAAAAATAATGTCAAATGTTTCTTCGGGCTAACGAAATCTTTATTAAATAATATATATGTAAAATAAAAATTAAAGCTAATGGATCATTGGGAAAATGAAAATTAGATTAAATAATAATTCTAATAAATATAGCTTATGGCAACTGGTAATTCGGCGAAGTGAATTTCGGTTACTTGTTATTATGTCAAATGGGATTTGTGGAAGATTGATGCTTCCCTTATTGGTAACATAATTTTAAAACGATTAGAAAAAAATTGTCATATTTATGTACAGTTGTTTATAATAGTGAATTAAACTGAAGTCATTAGAAAAGAAATTTTTTTTCTACTATAAACAAGCGAGCTATTCATTTGTTAATTTAACTTAACTTAAAAGTTGTTTAATATTATAAAACTAGCTGTCGTACCCGTCTTCGACGGGTTTTAGTTTCTACTAATTCATTTAACAGAGTGTCTACTAAGAGAGCGTTAAATCGAGGATTTACAAATAAACTAAACATTACCAGAATTATTATTGGTATTTAGCCAATTTCATTGAAAATAAATTTTTTCAAGTTCTTTAAAGAAATTAGAGAGATAATTTAAATTTTTTTTTAAATGCTTAAAGCAAAAGCATTTCAATGATATTGTTTCCGAGATGCACCACGTGGAGGTAACCAATATTGGGTGTTTTTGGCAAATCTTTAAATTATTCTTCAAGACCTTAGTGAAACTAAAAAACTTTTTTAAAAATTAAATTTCAAGTAAATAATTTTAATTTTATTGTTAATGAATTGTTTTTGAGAATAATTTGTAAATGTACTAAAAACGCATCTCATACTGTAAGAAATTTAGATTAAATTTTTCTCTAACTAAGATATTATATAAATAAATTTAAAAAATATTTACTAAGAAACAAATATAAATAAACATTAAATTGATTTTTATACTGGAAAATTTAAAAATCAAAAATGCAAGGACTTTTTATTGATTTACCATTGGCTTTTTTCTTAATTCCCTCCTTCTTGACTTTTTTTCAACCCGTTTCTGAATAATTACCCTGAATTTTGATGCTTCGTCAGTCTCACACTCAATCTTGTGTTTTCCACGTGGTATCTCGTCGTAATTCAATCCTAAATCGTATGCCTCCATGAATTGTTCATCAGTTAATTCATCTATTATTAAATTTATATTTAATAACTTAATATTAATATTTAAAAAGTTAATATACTATATTTGAATTGTATATAATATTATAAAACTTTTATTACCGAAAATCTCAATTGATCCCATTTTCTCTTGGTTGTTTTGCTTAAATATTAAAAATAATTATTTAAAAAATTTATATTTGAGTCACTATTTAATTTATCTAATATTTAATTAAAAAATAATACAAATTTTTTAATATTTTTAAATTACGTTTGCAAGTCTCTAGTCTGACAAATTTGTTATGACAGTCAAATTACATGAAGTTGTACTCGTATTCGATTGTTTCGATTTTGTGTTAATAATTTGATTTTTAATTTTTTTTATACTTTTAATACTAAAAAAATTTTTTTAATTGTTTGCTAAAATAAATGTTATTGATCCTGAAAAATCAGTTCCATATTGTTTTGCATTCATTTTACATAAATTATAAAATTTTAATTTTTTGACCTACATACATACACGAAATTTTTTACTTGCATAAATTAAAAACGACTGGTTTTTAGCCAATTTCATTTAGATAAAATCTGTTATCAAGCTTTATTTAAATGATATTGTTTCCAAAATGCACCGCGTGGAGGTAACCAGTCGTGCATCTAAAAAAAATAAAAAAAATTTAATTCCATAAAAATAAGTTAATTCTAAATAGCAAGTAATATTACATTTACATTTATGTCTTTTAGAATGAAAAAATATTACAACTTCATGTCAATACTTCAGGGTAAACAACATTTTTTATCCTTCCCGCCGTTGAATGAATGAAATGGCCTGAAGGTGATCTTACTCTTGAACATCCTACATAAAATTGTCCATGTGAGAAGCATCCCGACTCTTCTAAATCCAATCCTACCGTGGATAGCGTTTTACCCTGGGATTTATTTACCGTCATTGCAAAACACAGACTAATGGGAAATTGTAGTCTTTTAAACTGAAACGGATAATTTGATGGAATTAGTGGAATACGCGGTATAAAAACGGACTCTTCAGCAGCACATCCTGCAAGAATATCCGCTTCTATGATGAACCTGTGAAGCGTTCGCACTCTCAGACGTGTACCATTGCATAATTTTGGAGGATTTATATTTCTCAAAAGCATAATAGGAGCTCCGACTTTTACTTTTATTTCATGAGCTGGTAATCCCGGAGCTGTAACAGAATCCAAAAACTCTATAGGATAATGAACACTGTCATCGTCATTAATACAACTATTTACGGAAAAATACGTTCTTTCTTCTGCTTCGAATAAAGAAAGTATTTTTTGGTTAAGCTGTTTTGCTTGTTCCTTAGTTGGTGTTAAAATGGCACGTTCACATAACCAAGAGCTTTGAATTGTTAGTAGGTTTTCAATTCCGGGAAAAACGTGCTCTATTAGTTCTTCTTGAGAGGTTACAACTGTGGCTAAAGATGTTGGAATTGTAATTGAGCCATCGATCTCTTCTAAAGTACCATTTCCAATTGCAATGAGAAGATTGGAGAATTCTTGAGCTCCCTGCTCACCTCCTAAATGAACTCTCATATTTTGCAAAAGAGAAAAGCGTATTATTTTTGGCCATAGAAAAGATTTTTTAATACATGAATTGACTTCATCAGCCCTTGTTCCTCTGACAACCACTGGTAAAATTTGTCGAAAATCTCCTGAAAATAATAAATTAACGCCACCCATAGTTAAGTTACAATTCCGGACATCTTGCAGAGTGCGGTCTAAAGCTTCAATTCCTCTTTTATTTGCCATTGTACATTCATCCCATACTATCAAAACACATTCTCTCAGCACCTTAGCCATATTGCAATTTTTTGTTATAGAACACAACGGAATTTCCATTTGATCAATATTAATTGGAATTTTGAACATTGAGTGTGCAGTCCTGCCACCTGGTAAAAGGGTAGCAGCAATTCCTGAGGAAGCTACAGCTAATGCAATTTTCCCTTCGCTACGGATTTTCGAAAGAATCAGATCAGATTGTGTGGGTGAATAGTATATACCCTACCAATGGCTGGATCTTTGAAAATACCTGGATGACCTTGTACCGGTTTACCTCGTTTCCTTCTCGAGAATTGACCTTTTTGTTTATTGAATGTGTAGTATGAGGGTACTTCACAATACAATAACAATTTGGCAAAATTGTCTGATTGACAGAGTTTAAAGAAAGCCATCAATGTTGTATTAGACGGATTTTCTACACGATCTTGAACATTTTCAGGCCTAAAATAAACTCTTTGTCCATTCTCGAGATGAACATCTAGTTGAATTACCGGAGGGTATCTCTCGTGTATTTGGAATTCAAAAATGCGCCAAAATGCCTCTGAAGTAGAAATGTAACGGCCAGTTTGGTACATACTAATTTCATCATTTCCGTTTGCTACATGGAATGAAGCTTGATCGCTACCCTTGTTTACGTATTTGCAAACGTATTTGATAGATTTCATACTACCACAAAATTCGACATTGATATGAGTTTCGAATGTACGTAATAAAACCGGAGAATATGGTACAATCCATCTATTATCTACCGTGATAATCTCTCGTCTTACTCTCAATTCTGCTGTGAAACCTCCTTGCTCGGGAGATCTCCTTCTATACGTAGGATAACCATCTTCTCCAGTTATTGTTTCTCGCATAAATTACGTTGGTGAAGTATACAACGTTTTTAATCAACGATTTAAAACAAATAATATTTTTTTAAACAAATTTTAATTCATTTTTCTATAGAAAATATTTTGGTTAGTTTTTTGAATAATAATTTACAAAAAGAAATATTTGTAAACAAAAAATTTTATTCATTTTAGTAAAAAAATAATTTTTTCCTTTCAATCGTTGATCATTAACGTTGCAAACTTCACCGACGTCATAAATTGCTTTGGAAATCTTTTAGTACATTGACCCTCCTTCATACATCCATGGCAAGTGTTAAAAGATCCACATGGTCCATGTACCATATGGCTTTTTGCAATGTCAAATAATTGTTTATCATCTGCAGGATTTGGCAGTTCTGCACATATGATCTCATCAACACAATTTGGGCGTAGAGATTCTTTTAACCAGAGTAATATATGGGCAAGAGGCAGACCACGCTTCTGCCATTCAACGGAATAAATAAAACAACGCACACTACCGAAAATTTGTCCATTTCGCAAAAGCGACATCAAACATTTTAATTTTAAGTGAAATACTCGCGAAACAATGTCATGGAGATCTTGCGCGGATTGACCTTCGAACAATAAAACGTTAATTTCTGACCATCGCGGATTAGTTGTGATAGTGATAAAGAGATCAGGACGCCCAAATTTCCGAACGTAGCAGAATGCATCTTGAGTACGTGAATGCATGTATCTAGGACCGCCAGTAAAGGATGAAGGTAGAATTACCTTCTGCCCTAAATTTTGTACATTCTCATCTCTGTTGATGGCATCTTGGAGATGAATATACTTTTCTGCTCTAAGTTCGGTTTGGTGTGTTCGATAATAGACCAGTCTTTCACTCTCAATTCTCGCATAAATATCTACTGCAAACTGATTAAATAATTGCCGATATTTATGTAAGTGGTTAGGATCGTTTACCCGGATCATAAAACGATAAGCATAAAATTCCAAAGCAGAAGTTTTTTTATTTACAAATTCTCCTGATGTAGGATCTCTATGCTTATACTGAAAATGATAACCATCTTCTCCACGACAAAAAATAAGTGGATATTGGAGTGTATCATAAGCGCGATTAGTCTCAGATATTCTAATCAGTTGGCCTGTTCTTTTTTGTATGACAATGTCCTTTGATTTACTTGGTTCACCAACCATGATTACAGCGACTTCAGATGCAGTTGGTGCATTGTATCTACCTGGATGATGTCCTGCTCGAAGTCGGTCTGCTTTTATCACAATTCTGTAATCTGGTGATTAAGAGGGCATTGTCTCTACAGCTGATTTAAAACTACGAATATAGGTGTGATGTTCGTGTAGCAATTCTTGAATTAGTAGAATTAAGTTTGAATCAAGAGTATTAAAAATGGAAACTCTTCTTGTAGCCTGCTCCTGAGCATCGGATATAAAGTATATTTGAAGATAGCTCGCGGATTGACCAGAAGAAGCTAAAAGAGATCCCATTCTGTGATACACTTGTCCTTGAATTCTACATGTAGGCCTAAACCCTGATTCATAAACTTCAGAAGCTCTAAATGACGTCATTTGAAACGCACTATTGAAAGCTCGAAGTTGTTGCAAGAACATCTGAGACTGAGGAAGATCTCCGTTAAGTAAAGATCGAAGAGGTTCTGGTGGTTCTGGTAAAGAAGGTATAAAAATTTTGCCAGAAGAACAGCATAAGCCCTTCGCTTCATCTGCCCATTTCAAAGATTGACAATAGTTACAAATTTTATTCATTTCTCTAATATTTGCAGCTTCAGAATAATTAATAAGTGAATCATAAGAAAAACCACTGTTTCGTTTATTTAACCACTTATTATTATTCCTTATCACATGCCTTGATACTTCAATTGCAAGTCTATTTTGTCTGACACGAATAGGCTCCAATTCTCTAATAACTTGTTGTCTCTCTCTATCAATTGCTTGTCTATGTGCAGTTTGTTCTTCCGACTCATTTTTTCTTATTACCTGAACTCTCATTGTTCCCTCTTCTAATCTTTCATTACGAATGTTACTTTGAATAAGATAATTACTTCTATTTCTACACAATCTTTCATCTCTCTCATCCATATTTTCATTCATTCTAGATATAAAGTTCCGCACTCTATTGCTTTCTAACCTTTCTTTTCTTTCTTCCACACTTTCATCCATTCTAGCAATAGAGTTCCGAACTCTATTCTCCTCCAATCTTTCTTCTCTCTCTTCCACACTTTCACTCATTCTAGCAATAGAGTTCCGAACTCTATTGTCTTCCAATATTCCTTCTCTCTCTTCCACACTTTCACTCATTTTAGCAATAGAGTTCCGAACTCTGTTCCCCTCCAATCTTTCTTCTCTCTCTTCTACACTTTCATTTATTCTTGCTTTAGATTTCCGCACTCTACTGATTAGTAATTTACTTTCCCTTTCATGAACACTTTCATTTGATCTTGTCTCAGCATTTCGTATTCTATTGGCTGCTAATCTTCCTTCTTTTTTCTCTGTCCCTTCATTCCTTCTTGCCACAGCTTACCTTGTTCTGTTTCTCTCACGAATTTGTTCATCACTCAAAATGGAACATCCACATCCTGGAAATTGTCTGGTTCATTCCGGTTTGCCGCTCTTATCGTCCTCTTTCTTTTCGCATCTTTAGAATTTCGGCCAATATTTTTTCTTTTTCTTTTTGGCATGTCTGTTGTCTAATTAATAATAATAATTCTTAAATGTATTTTACATTTAAATAAATTTCAAATATAGAAATAGATAAACTTAGATAAAAATAAAAAGAAATTATTTATTTATACAATTGATTCCATTTCATTACATTAATAAACACGAATTTATTATAACCAGAATAAAAAAATTTAAATTCAAAAATTCAAATTTAATAATTTAAAAAAAATTAATAATAAAATTGATACAATAAAGAAAAAATTAATTTAATTCAAAAAGAAAATAAATAAAATTATTTCATTGGTTATTTATATAGGTATAAATAAATAAGGAAATTCTAAATGAATACATTTTTTTAAGAATTATATTAACTCATTTAAAAATAAAAAAAATTTTATGAAAAGTGGACAGAAAATTAATTAATAACAATATTAATTCATTCAATAAAAAAATCAATTTATTCATAAAATAAAAATAAATAAATGTTTTTGCTTCTTTAAAATTATTTATATAAGTGTGAAAATGAAATTAAATAAATTTTATTCAACAGTTAAACAATTATTTTTTTAAATTAACAGAAAAATAGTTAATAACAATAAATTAATTACAAATTAATAAAATAAATAAATAAATAAATTGTTAATAAATAAAATAATGAAATATGTTATTGTTAATAAATAATAACAATATTAATTCATTCAATACAAAAATAAAAAATTTATTCATAAAAATAAATAAACCGCATTGCTTCTTTAAACATTTTTAAAAATAATTTTATTGCTAATAATATAAATAATAAAACTGATTTAAACAATTATGTTATCAAATTCTAAAAGACATATTTTAAAAAACTCACCGGTTCTATTTTTGATCCATTATGACAATTCACCATAATAACAACAATATATTAAAATTAATTGTCTTGATATTTTTAAAACACATATTTATTATAAATCAAATTAATTAATTAATAGAATTTCAATTTTATTATTTTTTAAAAATTATTTTCAATATTTATTTATTAAAATGTCAAATTATAATATTATGTAATACATAAATCCTACCTCTGAAATGTCAATTAAAATTAAATATGTTTTTTCAAATGAATTGAATATATAGGGCGTTGTCGGCAGTGGCGAGACAGCGGGTATAGCGAGACACTGCGATATTTCAAACAGCTGAGTTGACAGTGTTGCTTTTTTTGGTGTAAAAGTAAAGTTTTATTCTGTTGAAGCTTTTTTATATGATACACACTTTCTGGATGTAAAATCTGTCACTATAATGCTGTCAATAGTTTTAAGCAAGTTTTAAAGTTTTATTTTTCGTATGAAAAAGTGTTTATAAAATTAAACTTTTCAAAATTTGGTTAACGGCAAATATTTTAAGTTATTAGTATGTAAGATTCCTTCAAAATTCCTAGAACATTATGCATAATAGTCCGATAGACACAATTGTAGATCGTTATTACCGTAAATCACTGTTTCGGCAATAGCGAGACACTTATTGTCGGCAGTGTCCGGATACTGCTTGTTTAAATCTAATAAAATAGTACATTTCTAAATGACTTCGGTATTATTTTTTTAAGTTTTGTCGGCAATATTTTGCATAACAATAACCTAATCTTAAAGTTGCGTATGTATTTTCAAATAATCCGTAATAATAAAAATAATAATCTTAACTCTTTTTTTAGATGTAAAAAACGTAATCAATTTAAAAGGGACACAAAGGAACCCAAATGCTTTGAAATTGAAAGCCGTAAAAGACATTGTAATTGAAAAATTTGCGATTTAAAGTAATGTCTCGCCACTACCGACGTTTTTGAATGTCGGTAGTCGCGGGACATTTTTGAAATTCGGTAATAACTTTTTTTTTAAAGACATATGCTATCTATATTATGTAAATTTGTAAAAGATAGTCTCACTAGTCTGTCTGCACAAAAGCAGACCAAATATTCATGAAAATATGAGTCCTACACAAAAAAAACAAAGCGTGTCTCGCCACTACCGACTCTCCCCTATCTATTTCTATAATTTGAAATTGTCTTCAAAATTCACTTGTTTTACCAATAACGTAAAATTAAATTTTATATTATTCAAAATATATTTTTGATCTTTACATTGGATTTTTTTTCAATTCAATGAATTGTTAATTAAATGATAAATAATTTGCTTATTAAAGTATTTAAATTTTTTTAATTTATTTAATTTTTTGAACTAAGCATTTAAAAAATTTTTTTTTTAATTTTTATTTCAGTTAAAAAATTAAAATTTAATAAATTGATATTAATAAAATTTTTACCTTATATTAAATAGAAATATTTAGTCATATAT